GCTTTGTGTCCCCCACCCCCATATTGTGAGGCTTTGTGTCCCCTCCCTCAATTTGGGGACATTGGGGGGGGTGGCTTTGTGTCCCCCACCCCATTTGGGGACACTGGGGGGTGGCTTTGTGCCCCCTTCCTCAATGTGGGGACATTGGGGGGTGGCTTTGTGTCGTGTCCCCCCCCCCCCCCCCCCTGGGGGAGTGTGAGGGGGGCCTTGTGGGTCCCCCCCCCCCCTTGGGGACATTGGGGGGGGGGGGGTGGTGACATTTAGTGTCCCCAACCCACCTGTGGAGCCGTCACTGCGCCCGTCCCAGCGCTGTGCTGCCAGCAGCGCCCGCTGCAGCCCTGGGGACAAACGGGGGACATTGGGGACATCGGGGGGGGGAGGGGGGGGGACATCGCTGGGGACAGCGTTGGGGACAGCGGGGACACTGTTGGGGGAGTGTGGGGGACGTCATTGGGGAGATGGGGACAGTGGGGGACATTGGGGACATTGTTGGGAACATCTTAGGGGACACCTTTGGGGATACGGGGACATTGGGGACATTGGGGACATTGTTGAGGACATCGTTGAGGATATGGGGACAGTGGGGGACAATGGGGACATCGCTGGGGACAGTGTTGGGGACATTTTTGGGGACATTGGGGGAATCATTGGGGACATCTTTGGGGATATGGGGACAGTGGGGGACACTGGGGGGGAATGGGGACAGTGACCCTATAGGGCTGGCTGACCCTATATGGGTTTGTGACCCCATAAGGTGTGTGATCCCATAAGTGACCCTATAAGCGACCCTATAAGCACCCCTTTAAGCGGCCCTGTAAGAGATCCTATAAGCAACCCCATAAGCGACCCTATAAGTGCCTCTATAAGTGACCCCATAAGCGCCCCTACAAGCGACTCTATAAGCGACCCCATAAGCAACCCTATAAGTAACCCCATAAGTGCCCCTATAAATGCCCCCATAAGTGACCTCATGATTGATCCCATAAGTGTCCCCATAAGCG